CAGCCTGTCAAAAGCAAACAGCAACAACAGCGTGGGCACTACTTAAAGGGAGTTTCTTGCCCAGACACTTTAGGCTCACAAAACCTGGGCTCTCAGTCCGCTTAGGTACAACTTACGGGTACCTACAGTTCACAGACACGCTGCTCCGAGCAGCAGAAGCAGACAAGTCAAATCAGTCACGGCTGGGCACTCTTTGCAGAGTGTAGTGCGAAAGGGAGACAAAGTGCATTTCTTTGAAGACAGAATTCTTACAGGATACTGTACATACAGAAAGCCCCTTACTCTCATATTTCAGGAAAAAAAAAACAAACAAAAAACTAGGAGACTGCAATAAGTCATTTTTAAACAAGTTAACTACAGAAACAGCACTTTTGTCCTTTCAGTGGACAAACCAACAAACCTGCTAAACTGATCACAAACCTTGTTTGTTACAAATGAAGTCTTCCAAAAATTCCTTTTTTTTTTTTTAAGACAACTTTTTCTATTTAGAAATCAAAGGTAAACTTTTTAGATTTTTCACCACCATAATGTTTGGACTGTAAGCATTTTAAGAGTGGCAAGTTATTTAAAGATAAGCTAGTAAAAAATACCATAGCTTAAAAAAACTCCAAACTGATCTTTCTACTTGAAACTCTCAGTAAGACAGTCATCCTTTTCTTCTCTACCCAGATACATCTGCTGCAGACACATATACAGCTCATTTTGGTAATTTGATAGCTTCTCCTCTTGCAGAGCAAGCACCACAATGCACACACAAACGATTTAGCCATATTTGTAGGTCCAGATGGAAGCACAAGTAACCAGCAGACCCATGACATTGGCTCTGCAAAATTTTTTTTTAAAAAAAAGTATTTGCTATCCTGCCTTCCAGTTAACAAGCAATCAGTGCTGCCTCTCAAACATCTTGTCATAACACTTTTGAGCACAGGACTGCTCCTGGTTTTGCCATGCAAAGAAATCTTAAAGGATGGTTGTTATTTTTAGAGGCAGTACTGGAAACCAGGAAACTCAGCTCCAGATTGTGAGCTCATACACCTTAATGGACATGAAGATGTTCAGTCACACACTCACATAACAGCCACTGTGCACTGTTAATTTAAAAAGGTCATTTAAGGAGCTCTTAGCCTGTCTCTTCATTTACTTGAACTACAAGATTGAGAATAGATTATATAGTGCTGCAAACCCACGAAACAGTTGCTTGCTTCATTAGATGCACTGTTTGTTTATTTTAATTAAAACACTTGACCTTTACTTCCTCTGCTGTTCCCACCTCTAAGGCACATCCAGAAATATTTCCCTTGCCAATATTTGGGGAAGACTTGACAAGCACAAGATTTAAACATATAGGAACTCCAGTTTAGAGCTAAAAAACAATAAATAAAATTGTTTTTTTTTCTTCCAGTATTTGAGATGTGCTGAAGAAAGGTAAACACTTCAAGTCTTTGTCAAAAGCCACTCCAAGGGGAATAGTAAGAATCTGAAACTTTAAATAGTAGTTACAGAAGGAAAATATTTCATGACTTATTATGGCATTTCAAGGCTTACTACAGAATATTCAGCTCCCCTTTTGTCTCTGACTTGCCCCCACAGTTCTTGCACAGGCCAGCTAACTCCTCGTGTTACTCAAGTCAAATTACAGTGCTCAAAATATAATTAAAATTCATGCTATGTAGAAAGCCATCTACTAATTTGATGATTAAGTGTTTTTCATGTTTACCATAACTATAATCATAACAACTTCTAGACCTGGAAAGGATAAGTTTCATGAATAAGGTAAAAAAACCACCACACAGCTTTGCTGTTTACCCACTGTTTCAAGAGCTACAGTTCAAAAAGTGTCACAATTATCAGTAATCTAGACAAAACATTGCTTCAGCTACGAGCAGATTCGGTAAGCAACTGGGTATTTTCAATTGCAGCCTATAAAAGGTCCCTGGTATTACAGTATGAACAAATATTAAGGGTATTTTAAGGACACAGAACACCCTTTCAGAATTTGGTGAACAACATTTATGACAACAGAAACATAAACACACCATTTTGCCTTTAGTGTCACTGCTTGAGTGTCTGTACTACTCAAACTCACAAATGATTTAGAGCAAATAAGTTCCAGGACAAGGCATCTGTTCCTTGTTGGCTAGAGGGAAGACTGATTTAGAGCATTCTAACCCGGTTAGACCTGCACTAGCCGAATTTCTATCAAAGCAAGTTTGAAAACTGAAGACAAACATAAGCAGATATTCATTTAGATGCTACTTATGTAGCTAAACAATCAAAAGCTCTCCCTGTAGTTTGAAGTGTCTACTCCTATCGCTCAAGCAAATAGGTACAGAGAAAGTGCTAGTGCTTACTACCTGCAGTTACTTGGCCTATAGAGGATCATTTAACCAGCTTGTGTAAACTGATGTCTGTTTCCCACAGTTCTTTTATCAAGTTAACAACCCAGCTGTTACACCTCATTGCACCGGAATGTACATCATTCCCGGCAAGTTTGTAGTCAGAAGGCAGACCAGCAGAAACTGGAGAAATTGCATCATAATGAAACAGGCAAAAGTCTCCTCAAAGCCTTTTCAGAACTCTGTCAGGAAATTCTCCCCACACCTGACCACCATACGAGGCTTGCAATTTTTATTTTCACTTTTGTAAATAATGCATTACTAAGATACAAACTTGAAAGGTGCTGGGCAAAAGAGGGCTCTCAGAGTGACAGACAATATAGCCTCAATACTTGGGAGAACTGACAACTTGAGCATTTAGGGTCACATAACAGCTGGATTCCAGGTGTAGAATACTTGAGAAAAGATAATTTAGAAAAGATTGAAGCAGGAAGTCATTCTACTTATTTAACTCAGCCCCAGATCAAACGAAAAAGATTGGAAAAACAATGTGAGACTCTACATTCAGGGACATTTGGTTGGCTGTTACAGGTTTTTACTTCTCAGATTCTACCTTTTTCTCTAACACCTACTGTCAAGCTTAAAATTTTGGCTTTTAACGATGTCTTGTCATGGCACCTTTTACTTTATATGTGAGCCTACTGAAACACAAGCAACATGTTCACTTAAAATACTGCTCTTACTATTAGCTACTTACTGTATATTTTAACTGAAGAGTTTAAAGCTTAACAGACTAATATAGAGTGCTCAATGCTTGTAAAGTGTCACTTAGAAAGAGCTGACAGCCTGGGCAAGTTTGTCATAGGGAACATCTGCAATTAGTACACAGATACGCAAGTGGTAATTATTGATCATTAACTCGAACCTGAAAATCAAATCTGAATTTGAAATAAAACTCAATTAGTGCTTACTAATAGTAAATTCAGGAAGTTATTGACTTGATTTGTTTCCTCCTTCACTTCCTCTATAATATGGCTACACAAGGTAAACTTTGCCATTACCAGTCAGTTTCTCATGATATAAAGCCTTCTGAATGCTTTAGTGTTTACTAAGTTTCATTTCAGCTGTTTAGATTGTGCAAAGACTTTAACATCTTACCTGCTACTAGCTGTCCACCCTAATCTCCCCTGACTTTTTGAAACAGCTCAGGTAAGCCTCTGGTTCATCCACTTCGAGATTAAGGTCACTTCTACACTATTACACCTACTTTACTTTGAACTGTATTGTCTGACCTATTAAGCAGCAACCTTTCAGGCATGCAAGGTTTTGGCAATCCCACTCAAGGTCACTGCTGCAGAAGTGATAGCAAGCAAGTGGCTCTGTTGAATATTTCTGAGATCAGACCAAGTAACTCCACAGAGCTCTGCAGCAAAGCAACACTGCAAGTACAGCAAGTGTCTCCATTGTCAAATGAAAATATTTAGCAGTGCTAGTAGGCATCCACAGCAAAACCTAAAAGTCTCCACGAGTCATTAAATTTGAACACCAGTAAGTTTTTTTGCTAATGCTCTAGCTAAATTCTACTGAGCATCTTTCAGCTATATTGCAGTTAAACACCACAGGATCTTCTGAGGCATACAGAAGTGGTATAAAATTGTTCTCTCAGTTTGAACAGAGAGAATTCTGCATAATGAAATAGAAGCACGTACGATTTCTTGAGCAAGCCCCCAGATGTGGCAAGAAAACTGGTTTCTCCATTTGAAAGATTACAGCATGCACAAGTCTACAGAGGTTTTAGTATTGCACGTGATAAACAACATAATTGAAGCATAAGATCTCAAGTATGCAGTAACATAAATCACAAGGTCAGACACCAAAGTGTTGTATGCGTTGTTTATTGAACTTCAAATTCCATGGTACATCATAGATTAAATAGTTAAAAACTGTTTATTTACTATCATACAATATTCAGAGTAGTCTTTCAAAACATCTCTTTCAACAAAACTAAGAGCCAAATTGAAGAATAATTCCCCAGAGCAGAATGCTAGGGGTGGAAGAAAGCTTCAGAGTACTGACTGTACACAACATTACACAAAGCATGATAGCACACCAAGTCATTGTTCTCTGCTGCAACACAGGCTTCACAGAAATTCTATACAACACTTGTTACCATTGTGGGCAGGCACCTAAAATATTAGTGAGACAGATGACTCTCAGACTTCCCTACTCCACATAAGAGTACATACAGACTTACAGTTCTGATTCTGTGATGTTCTACATTACAGAGCTGAAACCAGATTTGAGACTATTAGCACTAAATACAGCCTAAAATGGGAAGAGCGAATTGACAAGATCTTGCGCTTATGCTCTTCAACCCTCACACACAAGATGCCTACAACTGAAATTTTTATCTTAAAGACTGATGTCACCTGAGGTCAAACTATGAACGCCAACAACAGCGATGCCTGATTCTTTTGAAGTTTTAGACTGACTGAGGTGGGAGACTAGTGCTTGAACTGCACTCCTCTATCACATCCTATTTGTGCCATCTTGCCTCAACTGAATATTCAATTAAGTAAAACAAAATGCATCAAAAGAGATAAATCAGTCAACTGTAAACTGTTGGCAAGAATCATTCAATTATATATTTATCCTTCTCAGGCATTTGTACAAGACAGTGGAGCCTAGAAGCGTTAGCTTTAATTTGTGCAACTTAAGAATTTCCTTCAGGAAGAGTTCAGTCACCTGACTGGATGAAGATATCTCCCAACTTTGCATGGCAGCCATCAGTTGTAGCTCACCTCACAATAAGGTTCCGAGCCAGAACGTCAAAAAAGCACAGTAGTGCTGATTCCAAGCAAAGTCAGGATTTACTGTTCAAGATTTCCTTGCTGTATTACCGTTTCCATTTGCAACACTATTTACTGAGGAAGCCTCACAAAGACACCACTCCCAGCCGCAGCACGTGCAGCGGTACTGATGCAAACGTTTATTTTGCTTCAAAGCAGTTGGATGTATCAGGGCTTCCACAGAACCAAGTGTACATGAAAACATGTAAAACAGCAGGTTTAACCTCAGCAGCCCCTTTGCGTGATGTCTTGTCCTGAGGCTTTTGTAATATCCATTGTAGTGAACACCTGTAAGACACCAAAAGAAAAGTTTATTTACTGTTGCTTTTTATCCACACATGGCTATTGGTCTCCTATTGTAAAGTAACAATACTAGATTTCTTTGAACTGCTTCAATGGAAAACACATTGCAGTGCACAATTAACACATTTTCTATCACATGTCAGTATCTTATGGTTAGAAGTTAAGCAAATACTAAGTAAATCTCAAAATACAATGTAGTATTCTTTCCTTGCATCTAGGTAACTATCTTCAAAAGCAGCTTTTAAATCAAGCTGTGCCTTCCCCCTCCCTTACCTCTGCACAAGTTGGATGGATACCAATCGTTTCATCAAGTAATTCTTTGGTGAGACCACATTTTATTGCAGCAGCAAAACCTTGGGTAACTTCACCAGCATTAGGTCCAAGAACATGAAATCCTATCACACGATTCTTTAAGACAAGTGAGAATAAAACAGGAGTTAGTACTAAAAGTTTAAAAGCTCTAGTATGCAACTCCCACTACACTAAAAATTGTATGTTACACAAGCAGGTCAATAGCAGAGTCTTTAACTAAAAATGAACTACTCCAACAAGAGTAGTTCTGCAGTTCCTTTCAATCCATTATAGCAGAACAAAGCAAGTTTTAAAATTAATTTTTAAATCATTACACAGCACTAATTCAAAGATACTGCCTAAACCTAAACAGATTCTAGTTATGTCAGGTGTTTTTACGATTTTATACATATACAGTATGTTTAGCACTCTCAGATTTAAAATTAATTTTCTACATTGAAATTAGACCAGACAGAGGACCTGTTTATATTGTTAAGAGTCTGATACTGAAAAGTTTCACTGGCTCTTCTCTTCCTCCCCAAGCAGGTAACAAGAAGGAAAATTAAAACATTATAGGCTTGAATTCAATTCTGAGCAAGCTGTCTCTGTAGCAAGATCTAGAGTGATGGCAGTAGGCTATAAAAACGGGTGTGGTTTTTTTTTTTTTCATTTCATTAATTGGTTTATCAAGAGAGATAAAAACAATGTTTTAAAGCATTTTTCCATGATGTTCCTATACCTTCAGAGATGTCCTAGCCCGGGTCTGGCCATGATTTGCAAGATAGGATATTAATTTCTCATAATACGAGCAATTTAAGTACATTATTTACCTTACACTCTCCTCCAGTGTCCTAAGAAAAAACCCTTCACATAGAAATCTAAACAAAGTGCCTCCTTCCATTGCGTTATTTTCATCTAGATTATTCCAATGAGGCTCCAATAAAAGCAGCACTTTGAGCCTTTCTGCAGTCTTTGAGAAAGGCTTACGTGGGCTAATAAGGAAAAGAGTAAGTTTACTTCCTCTTAGCTGAAAAGCCATGCTATTTCATCATATCATTCCTTCTCTCCAAAGTAATTTTACACACCAAAAATCTACCTTTGTTCATCTGCTCTCCCAGATAGTTTTGGGGAAAAATACCAGGCAGAATTGGTCCTTATTTTTTACAACAATAAATCTACTGATCACTAGGAATTCCCATTTCTCATCACTGAGTTTTCTAGGACCAATCCCATGTTTTTCAGGTTCTACTAAACATACAAAACTCTGCACTTTGCAAAAGGCAAAACACACAAGGTTCAGAAACCTAAAGCAAAACACCAGATAGTATAGTTACTCAAAACACACTTCGAAGAAAAACTCTGGTGAATTTTTTCACAAGTCTAAACTTAGGATGAAGTTTCATAATGTGTAAAGCTACCACTTGCTCCAACAGCTGCTATATAAAAAAAAACACCACAGAACAAAACAATCAGCTCTCTCAAACTGATTTGACATCTTAAAACAAATACTTATTTTAACAGAATGGGTAGAGCTGGCCTCAGGCAGGCCACGTAAGGTACTAGGCTTTTGGATGGTCTAAAACAACTTCCAAGAGCACACTCAGCACATCCATTCCAGCTTGCTACTTACATTGTCATGTTTATTGCAGATAATCTTTGCATAACAAGTATTGTTATCTCTGCCTGGTACTGTCCATTCAAGTGGCCAGAACAAAGTGTGGTAAACCTGGGAGCATGACAAGAGCATTAGAATTAATTAATTCAGTCAGACATAACTCTAATTTTTAATGTATTTACAAAAAAGCGGCTTGACATTTAACCCATTAGATTTTCATAACATATACTATACAAGACTGATTTTTGTTCTCCCCAGGTCAAGCAGTCCATCCTCTAAAAGTCAGCAGAGGAAGACTTGACTCAAATCACGTGCCCCTGATTTTAACACTCAGTTAAAACAGCAACAGCTATATGACACATAATTTTAAGATCATATTTTCAGAAAGAGAAGTGCTTTAGTAGTATAAAATTAATCCCTAGCGACTCTAAGTTTGAACCTGTTCTGCAAAACTGTCAACAGCACAAGCTAAACAGTGCCAAGTCTATTTGGAAGATGTAAGGAGTTAAACACAAGGCATGCAAACAGCTTTAATGAAACTTCAGAGAAGTGCAGAAGCCAGAAATTACCACAGAACAGGGAAGTTATGCCTGATACTCTTATAGTCATAAGAAAAGGTCAGGAAGAAATTAATTTCTAATTCAAGCACAGTGAATAAGCAGAAAATAGACAGTTCATCCCAGGAGTTTGGTATACTTCAGCAGTAAGTCTTTGATTCATGACAACAAAAAAACCCACCTACACTTTTGCAACCTGAGTTTGGCCTCCTGAAGTCAAATAGCTATGCACAATTCTAACATCATCAAGTCCAGTCCTGGATTTCTGGGAGTCCAATACCTTGGTAGCCAGATGACAATACTTCCATGATGAAAAACCTATCTAGCTAACCTTCTAATCTTGTTTTAATGCTATGCCTTGAGTGTAAAGAAGCAAGGCCCAAGAAAAACATTCTCAAGCTACAAGTTAAACAAGTCTTGAGTTCTCTCACCTCCAAGTTTTGCTTTCCATATTCTTCTATGGCTCTTTCTTCAGCTAACCCACAGCTGCCATACTCTAAAGGAGTAAACACTGTCGTTGGTACATTGATATAGTCACACTAAAAATAAAAAGCAAAATTTATATTTAGACTATGCAAGTTCTATACAGTATATGGCAGGAAAAGTTGTATTAGCACTTTTTTCACAAAACAGTCAACTGGACAAATCAACTCATGTTATTGCAATTTTGAGGCAAAAAGCACAGAAATAAGTTGAAATTGTATTCTTATAGCTTTACCTTTGTGGAACTACCACCATAAAGCCTGCGGGCTAGCAGTCTCCCTGCTTGAATAGCAACTGGAGTAAGTTCGAGCTTTCCGTCCAATATATCTCCAATAGCATAAACATAAGGCACATTGGTTTGTTCTTCATCGTTCACAGGTACTTTCCCGTTCCTTTAAAACAAAGGGTAAAGAGAACAGAGTTCAGTATCACAACCTTCCTCAGAGCTCAGCAAAAAACAGGGTAGAAGTTCTGCTACCAATATGTTATTCTAACTACTGAGCACGTTCCATTAAATATGCTTATACCTTTTTCACTTCAACTGCAAACTCTTCAGAGCATGAATTACCTCCAACTCTGACACATGGCTCAAGTCAACATTCAGTGGGCTGGTTTTGACCTGAGCAACAGTGTGTCTGATGACAATGAAGTTACTCAGACATCTTTGGACTTATGATCTTTTATTTTATTATACAGCTTGCAATGCACATTTTTCCCTATGGGGAAAAGAGAGCTGCAATGTTTAAGTAAGTTGGCTTAGTAAGTTGTTAGAAAAATTGAGATGAGGTTGCAACAGCCTTCTCCTGAACATAATCCTGCCTCTTCTTTTGCACCAGTTTTGCAGGGAGAAACAAGAAATAAGTTAAATCTGTAGGAAGTGAGTAGTAGTTTGCTACCTTTTTTAATCCCTGGATTAACTTGCCACATGAGCTGAATAAACATTTAATTTAGCAGAATATTAAACTGTAGTTTCTAAGTAAATTAAGTGAATGTATTAAATCTATTGAGGGAGGTGAGGCACTGGAACAGGTTGCCCAGAGAAGCTGTGGATGCCCCATCCCTGGAAGCGTTCAAGGCCAGGTTGGATGAGGCATTGAGCAAACTGGTGTAGTGGAGAGTGTCCCTGCCCATGGCAGGGGGGTTGGAACCAGATGATCGTTGAGGTTCCTTCCAACCCAAACCATTCTATGACTCTATTCTATTCCTTAAGCACAGTGGCCAACAAGTAGCTATCAACTCATTCAGAATAGTTCTTTTATGAAATACATACTAAAGAAATTAAGTTAATGGACACCTGTACTCAAATCCAGGAGAAAGCAGTTTTAAAGGTTCGCATAATTGAAGGATACTTGAGGATTTAAAAAAAGCATCAGTATGATTAGGTATTGTTAAAGAGGTAAAAAAACAAACAATCATTGCATTCAATGGTTTAAGGTAGTTGAGCAATACTCACTTCTCATTGATATTGACACCAATCGTCTCTAAACCAATATTTCTGGTGCATGCATCACGACCAATGGCTATCAAAACCTAAAAAGCCCAAAATTAAACACAATTTTATGCAAGAAAAGTGTAATCAGCATTATACTTCCTTTAGTATTTTTCTGAAAAAACTGAGAAGCATATCATTGAAGTGACTTTTCCAAAGATTATTTGAAAGAGCCACCAACAGTTCAGGCTCCTCCACGTGCAACTTATTTCAGAGAGGCAATAAACAGCAAAACATTAATATCAGAACAAAAACAGAAGCAACTACACTGTTCATATGAACTAAATTCCAGCCATATAAAGTTTCACCCATTCTGCTGGCAGGTCTCAACTGAAGATGAACATTGAATTTTCATGTATTTTTTTCTGCCAGTAATTTATGTGAACAATTTTTCAAGAAATACTTCCCTTTACTTTTTCCTGAACAACTTCTTAAGTATTTTAATACATTTTCATGTGCTGTTATATTCAGTTATTTCAAATCCAGAAATGCTTACAGTGTTATATTCTTCTTCAAAGATTTCTGGTCCCTCAGTAGACTTTGCTGTCACTTTCAGTCTTCCAGGCATGCCTTCCTCTAGCTGTTCAACCTGTATAAATATTTGTAAGCTTAGAATGACCTTAAGCAGAGCTCACTTACACTGTCACTTCAAACCTTGACGTACTAATCTACCATTCAGCAGTAAAAAGCTTAGTCTCATAAAACATTTATTCCTGTACACAGCCAAAGCCTTCCCAGACAGCACATGCATTCTACATGTGCTGTTTAAAGTAACTTTGCACAGAGAGAAGAAACCTAAAGAGAACACTTGCCTGAATAGGTACAAACTTCCTGATGAACTTTACGCCGTGTGTTTCCATGTAAGCACCTACTTTTTCTGCCATTTCTTGGTCAAAGCCCCGAAGGAGTATGGAACGCACCATCACTGTGACATCTAAACCCAGACCAGCAAGAAATCCTGCACACTCCAGAGCCACATAGGAGGCACCCACAACTAGAGTTTTGCCAGGGCAGTAAGGCAAGGAGAAGAGGTCGTCACTAAAAAGAAAAGAAGTGTAAGTTACAAGGTACTTTCAACACAAGCTTGTTTGTCTTTGCAAACACTAGAATAGACAAAATTCAGTCTGTTACACCTTTTCATCTCACCTTGTAATACAATATTCTTTATCTCCAGGGATACCCAGATACCTGGGCCTTTCTCCCGTTGCCAAGACAAAAGTCTCTGCTGTGTGATAGGTTACTTGTCCTTTTCTATTAGTCGCCTGTTTATATAGACACAGTTAAGAAAGTCTTTATCATAGGAACAGGTTTTAAGATAAAATAAAAAAACCAACTATGTAATCCTCCCCTTAAATATTGTGGTTATTTTAAACAATCAGTTTGAAACAAGAACTAATGCATTTAGAGAAGCTGTGTAGGTCACTGAAGAGTAACAGGTTTATATCACAAACTATCAGGCTTTTCTCACATTAGTTAGAGCACTTAAAATCATTTACTCTTTGAATCCTGCCCATATCAACTCCTCATTTAGAATGAATTGTTCATAACAACTTACTGTCAAGTTATAAAAAGCTGCAATAAATTAAGCCTCCCCCACCCCCCCACTTCCAATAAAAGGCCAACACAAGGCTACTGACAGAGTAACATCAACTAGTTCTTAGGCTAATGCAAAAATTAAAAAAAAATTAAAATCTAGCTGCATGATTTCAGAGGGCTTAAGCCCCAACATTAAATGAATTCAAACTAATTTGACCTCTAGAGGCCCTCAAGTCTTGGGAAATTTCATCTTGCCAATACATATCAAAATCTGATGTTCACTCTTGCTCTTTAGTTATTTTCCAACATAGATGAAGAGAGACTTCCTCCCCATCAAATCATCAGGTAATTCAGGTTGGAAGGGATCTCAGGAGGTCATTCCTGCTGAAAGTCTCTCTATTCTACTTCATTTATAGACTAAGGACACTTAAGTAGATGACCTGCATACCTGAACACTAGAACAGCTGGTAGATGAGGTAAGTTGAGCATACTACTATCTTTTCAGTGCTAGCCTCTTCGTTTGAAACACATGTAGTTCAGCCTACATAAACTCATATTGAAAACAGACAATTACACTCACTGAACCAAACAGTTGTCTTCAATATGCACTTCTAAGTTAACCTTGCTACAATATGACCACTTACAGCAAGATTGCCAGCACGTGTTTTGCCTTGCAAAACTGACAGTTTAATTCTTATGCTGATACAGCATAAGATTCTAGCAGTGCTATTACGCAAGTGCTTAATCTGAATTCAATTTCAACAGGTTTTATGCTTTAGTATGAAGATTTTCCAAGTGGCAAAACCACACAGCTAAAGCTTTTCTTTCCCCCCAGCCTCTCCTCAATCAGGCTGCTGATCTCAAGCAGGAAGTTAGCTACTGGGACCACCTTACTCCATTCATGCAAGACATAAGTTTACAGATATCCACATTACTCTTACATAAGAGTTACAAACACTATGGCATGTTCTAAAGTACAATAATAATTTCAATCAGTAACTTATTTCACAAATCAGTTTTTAACTTCGGTTGACTTAAGCTGGCAATGTCAAGATGAAGCATTTTCCTTGCTGGATTTTAAAAGGCAGTTTTAGAACACGAGTTTTCCCTCCCAACAGTGTTTTAAACATAGTACATACCTTAATTTTGTGTGGTTCAATGAATTCTCCGTAAGAATTGAGGTATGTCACAGACTTCTCCCTTAAGGACACTCGGTAGCCCCAGTTTAAAGAACCAATGTAGTTTTGAATTGCTTCTACCATGATCTCCCAGTTGTGTTTAACTGAAACAAGACATTAATTTCATATTTAAAGAAATCAAAGTGCAATGAACCCTTAAAGAAAAACTTAAGTCTTATTCATTGTACATCATGCTGAGAAAATATCATTATCATCAGTAATGAGGATACATATTAAAGTCTTGTTCTACTGTGCTAATATTTACCTGACTTGTTATTATCTGAAACAAGCCCATTCCAGAAGTTCTTTCATTTAATTCAGATAATATAGGGAACAAAATACAATTAATTTTCAGTTCTAAAGGTTTCTATGATTCAAGAAGGAGGATGTCTTCTGATCTACCTAAGAAAGCTACTGAAGTCTGCCTCTAGTTTACTAAGTTCGAAGTACAAGAGCAATCTTAAGCTCAGAGTCTCATCTATACGCTGTCTTGGTCTGTCCACTGAGTTCTTACTAACCTTGTTCTTCATACTGCCACCCATATTTCCTTGAATCTTGGAGTGCCTGACCCAGAAGTGCTGCTTGATGCATGAGCTTCTTAGGAATGCAACCTACGTTTACACATGTGCCACCAAGTCCTATGATGAAAAGAACCATGTTATTACCTGTGTCCACAGGATATTTATGCTTTTCTTATCATGTGCTTTGTAAATCGCCCATATATCAGTTGATGTTTGCTATAGCCACACAAGTAACATGAAATTTCTGTTGTAAGAGACATTTCAAAACACAATGAACACACTAAGCTTACAAGTTTGTATTCAGTTTAAGCAGCTACTTAACTCATTGAACCAAGAAGGGTACACTGTGTTGTCTTAACCATAGACCCAGGATACTTACTCCAGAGCACTTCAGATTTTAGACAGATTGGCAAGTAAGCAAGGCAAAAGTCCAGAGTTCCTAGAAATTAGTATCACCTATTATGTGGTATTTGAAATATGTATTTGTTTGAAATCTAGCTATGAAAGCCCATTCATCCCTTGACTCAATAAAACTTGACCAATGAAGTTCCTTACTCATTCTCAACTGGCAACAGCACTAATAAGGTCAGACAGCTGCTGTTCTTAATTACAGAAAGGTGAGGCATGCATAGCCATATAGTCATGATGTTCTAGAGGTAGCCTAGACAAGTTGCCCATGAAATAGAACCAGCTGAACTAAAAGGCAAAAAAACCCCTCTTAAACATGAGAAAGAACATGCACACACACACGCACTATCTAGACATGATTTCAAAGTGAACAGAACTAGAACAACATTTGACAAAGAACTGAGAGTTAGCAATGTATAGAACAGAAATAACTGCCCAGAAAAGCAGGCATGCCAGGAAAACAATTCCTTTGTTATCTGTGTTCCAGAATTACAGGAATTCAGCCACAATTTCTAAGAATACAAATCCATATCTAAAAACTCAATCTGTAACACTGGCACTCAAACATCATAAAACACAAGTTCACAGAAGCTTACCCCATGAGGTTCCGAGAGGTGTTGGAACTACATAATCTAATACCATGACCTTCTTTCCCAAGGTAGCAGCTTCCTATAAAAGAAGGAGAGACAAGTCAGCATTACTGAACTCTTGGCTAACCAAGAAAGCCTGTCTGCTCGTTTACAGTCATGATATATTAAGCACAAATAGAAGGCTCCTTTGCTAGTTAGTCTCATTATTGTATACGGCTCTTCTACCCTCTTAATTACACAAAAATTCGAATCCCTCAACAGCTTATTATTCTCTTCCAAACTTTGAATGGATGCTTATGTTCAATGCTGCATCCATATCATCCTACATTGTCAAAAGCAATGATCTGAAGACGACACAAGATGGGCTTACCAGCCTACAATCCTCCATCTGCCTAAAGAAATATTTATGGTGTTAGCTCTCCTTTTCTCTCAGAAGGGCAGGACTGATTTGGCATGTTCATGAATGAAAAAAAGTGATGCGAAACTCAAGACAGTTCAGTGGAAGATCACCAAGATGCTCAAGGGGGTGGAGCACAGGTCCTGTGAGAAGGGTGAAGGAATTTGGCATGTTCAGCCTGGAGAAAAGGTAGGTTTGGGGGAGACCCAACAGCAACCTTCCAATACCTATGAGGAATTAAGATGACAGTACCAGGCTTTTCACATCAAGACAATGGCCGTAAATTGAAATAAGAGAATTCCAGCCTGGATGCAAGAACAACTTTCACATCAGGAGGACATTCAAGCAGTGAAACAGTTCACCCAGAGAGGCTGTGCCATCTCTACCCCTGGTTATTTTCAAGACCCAAATGGATGAGGTCCTGAATAATTCTCTTTGACCTCACAGTTGACCCTGATTGGAGCAGGAACTTAGAGTAGATGTCTTCTTGTCCATTCCAACCTGAATCATCCTATTACACTCTACCCAAGGAATTACCAGGCACTTGATTGAATCTAACCATTGTTTGATCTTTCAGGGGCTCGGACCAAATCTTTAGGTGCCTCAAATCTGTTCAAGAACTCCTGCACAATTACTGCAATCTTGGCTTAAACAAGGTTTAGCCAGCTATCTCGTGTTCTGTGAATACCTGACCTCTGCCACAGTGAACAGTTTAGCAATTATCACCACGTTTATAACCGATATCCCAGGACACACTATCAGGAAAGATCGGAGCATTCTGAAAATGCCCTATTAAGACTGGCTAATTGAAGCAGTTCTATGTCACCTTCTCCTGCCTTTCTTATATTTATCCAGTGAAAGTTGCATGTTTAACTATTTTTGGATAGCAATCGCCAAGGCTGTTAAGAATAACATCACCATGCGCTAACCATAAGCTGATGGCTGAGAGGCAGGAAGTAGGGGTTCAAATTCCTCAAGTAGAAGAGAAAACTGAATCCGCATCTTAGGTCCTGAGGCACTCTGAACAACAGCTAATTGTGTAAGAGGTACACAATCTCTATTATCATTTCTGAAAAAGCAGCTAGAAAGAGGACTAAAAAGCGAGCCAGTTCCTCAAGAGAACAGCTGAAAGGACTTCATTTTAGATTACTAGTGATCCTGAATCCTCAACAGTCAGAAGTACTTCAAGAGTAGCCTTTAGGTTTTTCAGATTAGGTTAGTTTGGAAGTGTTAAAGTGCCTGTGTATTACACATGAAAAGGAGATATTTAAAAAACTTTTTGTTCCACCCTCAGCCAGGAACATAAAACCTATTATTAGGACTAAGACATGAACAGGCATTGGCTAGAAACTGGTCCACACAGACCATGATCTCCTTAGTGAGCACATTACTAGACCACTACTGATCCATTAATTACCACGTTGAACTGTAATGATCATCAAAACACAGACTGTTTTATACTATTGTGATTAATATAGAGAATAATTTTTGAAGAAGTTTCATATACAATCTCTTCTTTAATGCAATTTTCACATTTTACCTTGGAACACGCAAGTCCGCCTGAGCCACCACCAATAATAATGAGGTCATAATCATAGGGTTCTGCATCTTTGCTATCCCCAAGAAGTTTCTGCAGTGATCCATCGTGATAAGCCTGTTAAAAAGTAATTATAAAAAAATTACTACACACATTTCTGAGCAAGCAAACTGAATGACGTTGTCTTCCCTGACCTAGATCACCCAGTCTAATAGGTCACACAAAATTTAATTATGATCAAACAGCAAATCCACTCAGTAGTCTTGTCTACTTGCAGCTGGTTTTTAAAGAAGAGTTACCTGGTAAGTTGAATCACAGCCACCTATGTGTGTTCCATTCACAAATACATTAGGCACTGTCCTCTGATTAGTTAGCTCTACTAACACTTGCTGAATACTGGCTCCATCAGCTAAGAATAAAAGAAACAAGTACATTATAGAACAATTTTCAAGAACAGAGCTTTTAAAACAACACGAAGTATTAAAGGTTTGGACTGCAATATACTGTAGGCCTGCCAAGAAAACAAATTTTTTTATAAGCATTGTATTTGTAGACTTCCTGAACATAAGCAAGTCTTCAGAAACGACTTCTCAAAAGAGCACACTTAAATACTGAGGATAAATTAGTGCTTCAAGCCATAATTCCACAGAACACAGTAAAGTTGAAGTAGTAAGAGTTTAGTCCTTGTATTTCCTGGATTCTTATCAGTCTTTTCCTGACAGTGTGACAAAAATTATTTTCCAGATATCACAGGAGATCAAACAGACAGCTTTTCTTTCATGAGAAGTTTGGAAGTTTTGGAATAGATCCTGTTTAAGTGCACATAGCTCTGCTCAGTCGCTTTGTGTTAAAGAATATAGGGATGGGAAGAATGAACATGCTCTTCTACTTACCCTAAAGCTACTTTCAGACTTTTTCTACCCACCACAGTGTCTTAAACCTTTCGGTTTAAAGATTATCATTTCCTAACCTGACCTGTCATCTGAATCATCAGCACCTACACACAGGCTTAATTTGGATCTCTCAGCAGTTGTCCCACAGTAAACATGGGAATGAGAATTTACACTATTGACTTTGACTAAAATCTTTTTACTCCAAGACCATATCTATTTAGTATCAGTAATCAGAGCGATTGCAAGTGAAATACATTCTTAATTAGGAGTAATTCCAGAAAAAAAAAATGACTGTGCATTGTACTTTGCATATCTTGTGCTATAATTAGTTCACAGTATCAAAACTTTACTAAAAAGTAAAAATAGGTAAGAGATGCTACAGATCAACACATAAGTACATTCTTCCCAAACACTGGTTAAGCATAAACACTTCAATAATGCATTAGCACTTTAGAAAAGCATTGGAAACCTAGTTTTGCACCAAAAAAAAATTGATAATACACATTCAACAGCTTACCAACAGTGTAATTAAGAGTTTATTAAGAATTACTTAATCTTAAAACTACATAAAAAACTACAAGCACTACACGTACTAAAAACTAAAACAGCTTGGGCTTTAAAAAAATCCCCTCGAAACAGCAACAGTCAAGGTACTGGAATTCACCTTTCCAATGACTCAGCAACTTTCCCAAAGGTCACCCATATACTGAGTCAAACATTAACAATTCCTCTAAAGCCTCAAAAGAACCTGAGGTAGGAGAAAAATACCACAGGCTTTTTTTTCCTAAAAGACAGAGCTCCTCAGAGAGAAATCAGATCTCACATCCTCTATGATGATGACGATTTGTAACAAAGAGTCGAAGTCTTCAGTTATATTAAAAACACATCCTGAATTAAAATCCATATTAAAGCCTAACTGCTTTTATCTCTGCATATATTAAAATAGATTTTGTTTTATATATCTTTCAATTAGTTCAAGACAGCTTAAAGAGTCACGTGCAGTCACCCATTTTTAGCTACGTTAACCAGCATGTGATAGATTTTCTTTCTTCTACTTACCAGTTACATCAAGCTCCAAAGCATAATACTCCACACGCATAGAGCGGAAGAGTTCTTTCACCTACAACAGAAACAGACACAACGCCAGTGCAAAGCTTTCATAAGATCTGATACACAGTTTAGGGTAAAACTTGATTGTTGGACATACACAGGTAACTTTTAAGTCTCAGTTATTAATCTTTAAGGGCCTAGCTCTACATGCCTTTGTTAAAGTTTGGCACTACTTCTAGATTTTGCACATTCCTCACTTAAAGCCAGGCTATTTAACACCATTCAGATTAAGCATCCCACATCACAGTAAACTTTCAATACAAGTTTCAATACCTTTAGAAAAAGTTTCTATACACAATTTGCTTAGCTGCAGACTTTTCCATCCCTGACACATACCAAAAGCCATAAGAATAACTGTCATGGGGAAAAACATCAAGAAGAGAGATAAAGCAGCAGTCAGATTCCTTGATAGTACCAAGGAAAGAAAGAAAAAAGGCAGTAGAGGATAAGACGCAAACCAAAATACTGTCAAGCAAATGCAAAAAAAAGTGCATTATAAAAAACTGCAGAAAGGTTAATACTCTCCCAGTGCACTCAGCACTAGGACAGTTCATGCCTCCCAGCCCCACATTCACTTTTGGTTGCTGTACTTCAGAAAAGTTTTAGAACGAGCAGAGAACAATTACTGTAAGGAGTCAATGAGTTGGGTTTAACATAAAGAAAAGACGGGGAAAGAAGTAACTGTGTTTAAATAAATAACTGGCTACCTCAAGGAAGAAGAGAAGTGGTGGTGGACAGCATAAGAAAAAATGGTCTGAAACTGCATCAAGAGATTGCGGTTAGACTTTAGGAAAAGCTTTTCCTAACAGCAAGACACCGGAACACATTGCCTAGGTAGATGATAATCATCAGTGAGCGCCTTCAGAGTACATGTCAAAAGTGTTTGAACTACCATTTCCCCTGCCCTGAGCCAGAGGACAAGACTAGACAATCTCTTCAATTTTTTTCAGCTCTGATTTTTGTTTTGCTTTTTAACATCTGCCTCAGCCTCAGGCAGGAGTGGGTCTATCTTGTTTGCCATTGTTTTACTAAATCAGTCATGTCTTGCTTGTGAAATATTGAGAGATTTAATACCAGGATGTAACAGTTACATTTTTAAACCTTTTTTCTCCATAAAGCAGGAGGAGCATTGTACAGATGCTTGGTCATTAAAAGGCTACTTTTCTCCTGCATTGCCATGAATAAACTCAGATACACAGTATCACCAGAACATGTCCTAGAAACATGGTTCACACAGCCAGAAGCAAGCAATAAATTAAAAAGGGGGGGGGGGGGGGGGGGGGGGACAACAAGACAGACTGCAAAAAAACCAAAAAGCAAAACCAAAACCCACTATATACAATTCTAGTCTTAAAAAGGAAGAAAATAATTCCTAAATGACAACTTAGTGGAGATTCTCCACAGCCTGGAGAGAGTTCTGAGTGTTTTTCTAACATCAGTTCCAGATGGACAGAGTGCACCATTACCAGATTCAAATCAGGTAGCATTTTAGAACTGAGATTTTTTTTTTTTTTAAGGTAACACCTATTTGTAAAACTGGCAGTACTGAAATAGTGAACTGACCTTCTACTTGGACAATGACATACCTCACAGCACAGGAGGTAGTATTACATCTGGCAGTGTTTACTCCTTTGAAATATATTTTGCAGACTTACCTGTGCAAGTAGATATCGTAAGGCAATGGATAAAACATCTGCTTTTAATCATAACTCTCTTGATGTGAAAACAGCTCTAGCAATAAGCACTAAATATCTGTGTGACGAATCCCCTTGCCAGCAGAGTCTGAACAACAAAGCAACTAAGTTGCTGCCAATTCAGAAGAAATCTTCTACAATCAGATTTCGAATGAACCTCAAATTTATTGACCACACTTCACTAAGTGAGTCACATCTAATGAGTCTAAAGATGTCAAACACATGATGAATAAAACATTTTTAATGTTGTTATGATCCATCCTGTTACTCTGCCAAAGGCTGGGTATTCCAGTGCTTTCCACTGGAGTTTCAACTTTATGCAGACAAACATAAGGCTTTTGTATTCTGTACCAACTACGTGGCAAGTTTCTTCCCATAGCATATAACAACCATAGTATACAAAAATAAGCTCTGCTAATGTAACTGATTACATTAGTTCTGCAATTATAGAATAATTTAAGTTGTAAGGGATCATTAGAGGTCATCAGATCCAACTCTCTGCTCAAAGCAGGGCCTAATGTGAAGTCTGATCAAGTTGTACAGAACACTGTCCACCCCAGTAGTGAATATCTACAAGGACGGAGATACCCTAACCTCTATGAGACATTTCAGTGTTTGATCATTCTCACAGTAAAGAACTTCCATTTTATCTCACTGGAGTATCTGTTATTGCAACTTGTATTTATTGGCCCTTGTCCTTTCACTCTGCAACTCTGAGAAGAGTTTGGTTGTCTTCCCACTGGGTAGCTGAAGACAGCAATTGAAATTCTTCCTTAGCCTTTGCAAGGTTAAACAAACTGAGCTCCTTCACACGTCCTGCATTCCAGTCCTCTAACCATCTAGGTGGCCCTAAAAACTTTTATCCTAAACCAACCATTACCTTCAGGCTTGCTTACAGGAATGGCTATGGCTATAGAGTGGATGAAAGGGAAACAGCAGCGGAACTGTTCCAGACCTCCTGCTCTGCAACCACTGTTACCAAGCCCAAGCTGAATGCCATGAAAGATCTAAAAAGTAAAGCTTAAAGGGATTGCTAATATGAAGTGGTAAACTAAGAATTTTGAAGGAAATAACAAAATCAGCTACTCAGCTGCTCTTTTAGTTTGCAACAAAGTAGCAGAGTAACAGGCAAGTTTTCATTAGTTTTTTTTTTTTTTTTAAATGCTAAAACACTGCAACAGCAGCTGGCAGTGAGGAGGACAGGACAGAGAACATTAGTAGAACAAGAAAGGATTACATTCAAGAGAGGACAGATACTGAAGATACAGAGTAGAAGAAAAAAAAATCAAACAAATGTCGGCATCCTAATTAGAAGTAGCTATTGCACTTTATGGTTATGAATAGATCATCCTTGTGTTGTGCTAATGAAACAGAAAGAAAGAAAAGTAACAAGTATACGATCAGAGTTACAAAATCTTCAATACAGGCAAGAGATAATAGATTATTTCAGTCTGGAAAAGAAAATGATTAGGAGGAGTAGAAAGATAGCATACACTAATCATGAGTAATATCTAGATAAGGTGAACAGGAAGTGATTTCTGAGAAACACTCACTGGGGCAAACAGCAACAACTGCATTTATCAGAAAACAATTTTGAAATGAAAAGGAAGTAAATCTCCATACAACACAAACTGGAGAACTTATTGCCACCTGACATTGTAGAAGTAAAAATTAAAAGGAGATCAAAGGAGCTATTAGACCAACTAATGAAAGAAAGATCCACTGAAAACTTTTAACTCAATAAAAATAAAGCAAACTCAGGTCAAGAAATTCCTAAACCACACAGTGCTGGAAACTTCAGCAGCATACTGGGAAACTTCCTAATCCTGGAAATGTAATTTCTCCAAGTATCTGAGAAGGGATACTACTACAGCAACTACCTCTGCTGTTTCACATACCAGCTAAGATTCTATATTAGCTACAGCTGAATTGACCAGAATTCCCTGTAGATACAGATACATAATAGCATAATATATAACTAGAATTATCAGCAACTTCTATGCAACCATAGTTGCTCTTGAAATAATTTAAACATATCACAGTGTTCAGACTTGGCAATTTTTCATGCTAAAAATCTATGCTTTCTTCATGCATTTCTATCTTACTTAATCTTTTCAGGGTGGTAAGATATTAAAGAACAGTCAAGTTAAGTAATGACAAGGAAGTCATTCTAACACCACCCCCTCTCCACTACTGCCTTGCTAAAGCAATTGAACAATAAATTGCATTTGCAGAAAAAGAACTGCACAATTGCCTAGTCGTGCTACTCGCTGAACTGAACAGAATCAACTACTTAGTTAATTTAGAGAATTTATTTGCAGCGCTTTTCTGAAAGAAAGCACAATCTTAATTTTCTTCCAACATGGCTACAGTTGAAATAAATAATTCTTCCCACCCCCCAAATTAGGTCCTTTTAGAGCACAAGTGTTCTCTGCACTAGTGCTAAACACCATCAGTTTTTCAATTAATCCTGCCAAAAAGCACATTGCTAACAACCATCCACAGTAAAAGACAGACACAGCGCACACTATTCATATCCGTCTGTCTTTTAAGAACTCAAAACTCTGTGATTACAGGCTAAGCACCCAAGCTGTAACTACACTTTCAAATTACATCCACTTCATTAAATCTAGACTGGATCAGCAGGCAAGAATGCTGCATTAGCCATTGTTCTCCCACTCCTTTCAGTATTTTCTGTCTTCAGAGGGAGGGGTTGCTAATACTCATACTATGAGTATTAATATATGTTGCAGATATTTCTGGTTTATCACTTGATGTCTCACGTGTGGCTTCCTTCTCTCATAAGCTTTCTTCTTCTTCTTCCTCTGCAATATATACATCTCTTCTACGTTTTATTCATTATATTACCTTTCTCTTCTGTTCCAAACAGGAAAGTAAGCCAAGGAAATCTGTCTACTAGAGCAATCAGCTCTTCCTCCCCACCCCTCCCAAGTTTATCACCTGTTCCTTCACAAAGATTCATACAAGTTCTTTCAACTCTCCCTCCTAGAATAGGCCATGAGACAGGGTCCTCTTACTCATTATTCATTCTTCCCCTTTCCAAGAAAATAAAGATAATATTCCTTGTATCTGATTGTTTCCTTCAAGCAAGTGATCCTGTCTAATGGAGACACTTGGAACAAATGCAGGAAAGAACATGAATCTGGAATTTAATTACCAGACTATAATCAAGTCTACTTTTCTCTTAAGCTCCCTGTCTAGCCCCACTGCAATACCAGAAACAGACAAAGGAAAAAGTTGCATTAAAAAGTTCCTAGGCCAGTGTATGATCTTGGAAACCCTGGACTGA